CAACAGATTGAACTGATAATTCATAACCTGATGGATAGAAACTGTAGAGGGAGGAAGGAGATCTGGGAAGAGCTTTTGCAATTCCATATTTGAGATTATCTGAGATTAAAAATTTTTGTTAAGAGTCAGTTAGTGAAGGAAGTTGAGTTTACAGTTACCAAATGCCAGGTGGGCCCGTGACATTTTGGTATGAACTCTTCACAATTCAAATTTTTATGGAAATATTCAGAATGCCATATTGGGAAAAGCTTTATTTTAGCTGTAACGGAGTCATGGTAATAACTGACTCATACTGCAAGGGAAAAGATGATGGCAGCTCACTGCACTGCTAGATATCTCCAGCACAGTTTTATTTTTAAAAAATCTCTTATCTATTTGTTTTTACAGTAGATAAACTGACATCAATGTGATGATCTGAATTTGTTCATTATCAGCAAAGATGTCAAAAAATTTTTTTTAAACCTATTTCCAGAAAATATCCAGCTGAACAAAATATCTTGTTCCACTATCTGAATGCTTTGCTGTGTTATTTTGGAAATGCAAGAGGAAAAAACTGTGAAAAGACCATTCTCTTACGATTTATCAAGAAGTCTTTTTTTAATGTTCATGAGTTTTTTCTATTAAGCAGTTCACTGTATTGATCTAGTTCTAAATGAATTCTTTTTGAGAGGTCGTTTTCTTATGGCCACAGGTTTTTCGTTTGTTTTTAGCAGATCTGAGTGTTGGCACAGAGAATGAATAATCATTAAAAAAGGAAAAGGAGATTCTTACTTAAATATTTGAATTTAAGCCACATTTTTCTGCCATTATTCAGGAAAATTTCTTTCAGTTTTTCTTCCATTTCCTCTCTGGCAAATGAGACACCGCAAAGTTTGACTTTTTAGTAACAGTAATGTAGTAGTAGTAATGTAATAGTTATTGTATTACGTGATCTTGCTGGGATTTTTCATGTTCATTCTGACTTAATGTCTCCTAGGGCTAAAAGCTTTTCTAGAATCAATACCATGGGTACTAGCAGCACACAGCTGATATCTTCCTTGTCGCTTAAATAAAGGCCAAAGATCCTAAACAAAGTCTTGAAAATGTGCAGTGTCTTTTGTGCATTGAACATCTTCTCCATTTCTTTTGAATTCAGTAAGTTTAAAAGGAATATTGTCTTTTGCTTGTATAATGCATTTCTAAAGAAGTAAGTGATAAACGTGATTCGAGTGACGAATTTTCTCCAATGTCCTTTCTCATTATACAATTTCATTTTGATGATACGAGTAGTTAAAAAAAATATTGAACTTCAAAAGCAGTGGTTTTGGTTATGCATTGCTTTACAAATGATGTTTTATGATTTTATATATATGTATGTGTCTGAATGAGAAAAAGATGTGTATGTATAAAAAATAAAAAAGTGGCAGGTAGCATCATTTAGTTTTCAACATGTGATTCCTGCCCATTGGCCAAGACTTCTGTTGGGTTTCTTCTGTATACTTATATGTATTCCTCATAATTATTTGTATTCCTTCCATTTCCTTTCCAGGAACTTTTTGTATTTGCTATGAACATCTTCAGCTTTTTGATAAGCATTAACTTTCTAAGAACACAGATTATTTTCTGTTCTTCTAAAAATGTGCTTATTAGAAATGAGGAAGGACTGTTGACCTTTCTGCTAAGGGCTGAATTACAACTTTCCCTACAAAAGCTGCAGCATAAGTACAAACTGTGCAGCTTACTTTTCTTGCCTCGCTGCTATGCCTTAACAACTTTTCAAGAAATCTGCCTTTGTGAGAGCCATGCTATACTTTGTCCTTGGTGGTAGTGTCTTCAACACTTTCGGTAGTGCTTTAATGATCTCTAAGTTTCTTAAGAACATGTGCCTAAAACCTACTGCGAAGTGGAAGGATGTAAATAGTGTTCCTGTGGCTCTCTTAAGACTTTGGCATGTATTTGATACTGATGGCACGTCACTGAGATGAAAGACCTTGCCTGGATCCATCATCCCCTAGGGAGCCCAAAAGCTGGAACAAAAGGCAGCACAAAGTTCTCATACACTCATCTCAGCAGATGGCCTCTTTTTTTTCTTTCTTTTTTCTTTTCCAGAGATGCCTCTTCATTTATACTGATTTTAGTAAGAACTGATATATGTTCAGCATTGCTGAAAAATACATGTAGAGACTTAAGAAATCAGCTGTAGCACCACATCCACTTAAACCAAAAATATTTCTGAGAATATGAAATAACTTCTGTTATGGTCTGAGCTAGATGCATTACCATGATTTCAAAGTGTAGCAGTTTGTGTTCCCCAAATCCAATATTACTGATATTTTCAGATTAGAGATTTCTTAGTAAGGTATCTTAATATTTTTCAGAAAATGTTTATTATTATTATTATTATTATTATTATTATTATTAGTAGTAGTAGTAGTAGTAGTAGTAGTAGTAGTGGTAGTAGTAGCATTTTAATGTGAGTTTTATTTGATTAGAGTTATGTTCTTGGGAAGATTTCTTTGGTATTTGATGAACTCTGCTAATGATGCAGTTGTCCAGCTCCACTTCTTCAGCTCAACAGAAGGTTGTGCCTGATGTGGATCTAAGTGGGTCCAAAGAAATGGATCCAACATTCCATACTGCATTGCCATCCTTCCTGAACTACCACCTCATGCACCACATTGTTTATCCTTTAATACAGATATTTCAGGGAGAAATTTGGGTCCTTCAGGTTTCTATGGTGGGGAAGCAGGCAGGGTGGGTGGCTGAGAGGATTTGTGCTCATGTGCCACCCTGTGTTTTTGCCCGAGCTGGAAGAAATTCAGAGGACTCCAGTCCAACAGGCTTGAAAACCACATAGGGGAAACTGTTGAAGTAACAGCTCTCTACCAGTCCTTCTAATTTGAACCTTCCAGAAAAGTTACTGCAGTTGTTTGAGTAGTTTGAGGAGACTTCAGTGCAAACGGATAGCAAGATGGTGCTCGAACTTCCAGAGGGATACCTCTGTATCTGGTATACCTCTGACCTGTAGCAGAGGATTTGGAGCTCCTGCTGCCTTCTGAAATAATAAGAAGAAAAAGAAGAAGAAAAAAGAAAAAGAAGTTGAGGAGGCTTCTCCCAGTTTTACTCCAAGAAAAAAACCTCAAAGCAGCTGGTATTATCTGGAAGTCCTGAATTTATATACTGTGTGGATGACACACGTGTTAGAGGGGATGAAAGAAGAACTGTGGTTTATACTTGTGAATTCGCTTGAAATAGAAAACAGATTTCACACTTGAGATGAAATAGCAAGATACGCAGGTCTCTTTGGAACACTATCTTTGTGTATCATTTCTATGTGCTGTCTACATGAAACTGCATTAAAGCACCGGCGTGTGGGCAATAAATGGAAGAGTGGCAAGTGGTACAATAAGTACTCTGTTACACTGAGGTTAACACAAGATTAACGTTTCTGAAAATCCAGGGAAGCTGAAAAAATAGGAACGAGTGGAAATAATATTGAACCAAGTACATAAAATGAAATGTACTCTAGAATGTGCAATAACACCCCTTCTCTCCAACAGGCTAATCCTAGAAGTTTAAAATTAACTCAGGAAGCATAAAAGAGAATCATTTATTATAAGTAATAAATAGATTTCTTGTCTTGTCTTTATAAATTGGATAGCAGAATGCTGCTTTCCAAGTAATTTCCAAACAACACATTTATGAACTGAAGGAACAAGAGCGTAAGAGAAGCCAATGTTTGTTCTTGTTTACTTAGATCTGATTTATAGGCTAAGTAGTGTCTGAATGAGGTAATGTAGTTTTTAACAGGGCTGATATTCTGAAAAGAAGTGTATTTTGGCAGACAAAAATTACAGTAATAGTAAGAAGTGGATGCTTTTTGGTTAGAATCTGCTGTTAGCTAAAGAAGTGTCCTACCCTCTCATTGTCATAGAGACATTACATTTTCAGCTTTAAGCCTCTAATTCACTTTAACTTCAAGTATTAAGAGCAAATGGTATAAATTCACCATTCAGATCTCAACAAGCCAGAAATCCCACGTACCCCCTACCTCTGCCAGGAAGGTAGTACATCCATCCATCCTTGTAAGCTCTGCACCCGTCTCACAGTGAAGCTGGCATGACATAAAATGACTTGGCTTTCTTCCACCTCCCAGGAAGGCTGCTCAGGTAAGTGGTGTTCAGAATGCATCAAGCCCAGACCTTGCAGGATTTGGGGCCCCAGGAGACGTGCAAGCTACTTGCATTCAGAAGCATAGACAAAGGCTGTGGTGATGCACCTCTGCGGAGAGCGATTGACTGCTGGACAAGGTGAGAAAAGTGAATTGTGTGCCTCCCCTAGCCTGAGGATTGTACATTTATCTGCCACACAGCCAGGCATTGCCCTGGTCAATATGATAGAGCCTCATACCATGTTGCTGAAAAGAAGATAGATGTATTCCCTGTCTTTAGAAGGCCTGAGCTTCTTCTTTACCTGGAGCAGAATATGGGCAACACCAGAACTAGGCACCTCTGTGCACCAAAGCTGGGCATGTAAACCCAGAGCCTGTCATGAGGTAATTTCAAACAGCCCATCAAATATTTTCCCTTTTGCAAGCACACTGTACTGCTTGATTTAGCAGCTGCCTGCTGAGGACCTTTCTATGTCATAACACGTCCTTCCTCCACGTGGCAAAAGATTCTCAGAGCTCTGCTAACTCAGGGCTGTGTAGTCCATTCTGCATGTGCTGCAGGTCTAGAGACGTACAAGCTTGTAGCAAGGCCATTCACAGAAGCTGACATTTCACTTTGACCATCAAAGTTACATTTCTTGGGATGTCTCACGTCAGTGGTTGTAGTTCTGTTGAACAAAGATTTAGGGAGATTGAGAAGAAGTAAGAGATGACTCTGCAGTACTATGCATGAAGTCTGTATGGATATCTGCAGCATTCTTGTTTGTAGAAGGAACCGAGTGCTAAAGTAGATGGCTGCAAGTTCACATTTATCTCTGGAAATTCTTTTGATCCTGCAAATTATGAGATACACTGAGACAAAGACATCAACATGTATGAGTGAAGTATACGGAGATATAATGGATCTCGATAAATTATGCAGCCAATTAAATAAAAATATTGCATTACTTATGTTCCTGAAATGTGATTTGCCAACAATATTCCCATGGGGCACTGATATTTCAGGGTATATTGTTTAGGGTTAGGAGATGAAGTTCTCAGGTTGTTATAATGAAAACGCCACTCAGCATATACGGCTTGAAAATCCATTGTTAATTAACAGCATTCAATTCTTAATTGTCTTTTTACCAATTCAGTTGAAATCATTGACACAAAATACATTGGTAAACTGCTTAATCAATCATTGTAGAAAAATAGAGGTGTTTGATAGGGACATTCTAGTACAAAGTTTATGTGAAGCTTCCTCATTGAAAGCTTTGGAGGCTTCTGTTTTTTTAAGCTTATCTTACAAAAATGAGATTTCATAAACTTTACAGTCCGTGCTACATGAATACCAAAGACAGTAAAATACAGAAGGGGAGAGAGAAAAAGACAAACACATACAGCTTAAGCTTGAAGTGCCCTATTCACAAAAATATAGCTTACACATGCGCATGCCCCAGTGGCTTAAAATCTATTTTTTTTTTTGTGCTAAAGGACACAAAAAGGTTTCAATAGGGCCCTGAGCTGCTGTTCTAATTAGCACAAACTTTTCTTAAACTGCAGCAGTGAATTACAGAGAGGCCCGGTATATTCCGAGAGCAAAAAGCAGGTTTATCCTCAGAGGAATGGTTTGCTTTCAGCTCATGCACCTTTTGCCAGGACTCCAGACTGACACACATAGACTCTTGGCTACCCACGTGCTATCACTGGGTTCTCTGCTGCAGAGCTCCTGTCTTCCAGCAGAGCTTTGAGGTGATCCTGCCTTAGAAGCGCTGGGTGATTACGGATAGGTTGTGTTGGGTCAGCAGGAGGACTTGGCTTGTTCTTTTGTTGGGGCAAATGACCAAGCTTTAAAATGTCTGCAGCAAGTGAGTTACATATCTCATGAAACATTGGTGTAAATAACCCTTACCGAGTTGATAAAATCAGCCGTCCTGGGTGGATGGAACAAAGATCCATTGCTTGTGTAATCCTGCTCTGTGGAAGCCTTTACAAAGGATGCTCAGAGCTGAAGCAAGGCTTCCTATTCAGTCTGCCCTGCCCATCCCCAGTTTGCAAACCTTTACCCTTCCCCTGTTCTTCCTCCTTGGCATTAAGCACAGCGGGAGGACCTGCAGAATCCCATGGATTAGCCACACCTGATGAAAATTAGCAAGGGGCAGTTGTTTAAGCAAGAAATAGGTATGTACTTGAAGTGAAAGCTATATCACAGTGCAAAATTTCCACCTGCCCACTGAGTTTCTCCTGAGGGTTTTGAGGTTTTTTTTTTTTGTTTTTTTTTTTTTTTTAAATTTTCTTCCCATTTTAGTGTAAATGTTTCTATACAAAAGATGCTTTGGACTCCCTTCAATATGTTCCTTCTTTCCAGAGTAGGCAGGTATAAAAGTAAAAAAAAAAAAAACAACCAAACAAACAACAAATTAAGGCTGCAGCTTCCTTTTCCTTCACTGACAGAAATGTAGTTGCGAATGGGCCTGGAGAAAGCCAAATGAGAGCAACATGACCTGCATTGAGCAGGTGGCACTTAGCACACACAGGCCTGGCATGACCCACAGATTGAATGGGTTGGCTCTGCTCTGGATGCAGACATTGCAGTGTGAGCTATGCAAGCTGTCTTTGTCCCGTCAATTCTGAAGTCATTAAGTTGGGGTGTATAGGATTTACAGTGGTTTATGGCAGCCAAGGAGCTGTCGTAGGGACCCCCCCTCTCCTTAGCACAGGCGGCAGGATCCGTGTGTTTTGCTGAGAAGCCCTGTTGAAGCCTGTCACCCAAAGATGGCACGCGGTTTGTGACTTTTTGGGACCCACTAAGCACCGGTGCTGCTGGCGAGTGAAATTCTTCCAATGCAGCTTCAGCTGTTTCCTTCCTGGCTGGGTAGCTGCCATCTGCATGCGACAGGCCCACTCGGTTTCCAGTGACCTGCGCTGTTCGTGCATCAAACCGCTTAATTGAAATCCCGTGGTTTGAGCGGGGAGAAGGGAGATGTTTCCCTAGATATTGCACATAAAGGCTGATACCTCTGCATGAAACATGCTTGCTAGATTAGGAGCGCACAGAGAAATTCTTGTTTGCCACAGTCTAAATTTAGGTTGAACTGCTGAGAAAATACCCAGGAATGATTTGCCTTATTTGTAAACATTTTCACAGTATATCAGTAAGTATGTTACAATTTTTCTACCCTGCCCTCTCCCAGACTTATGGCTTTTTAGAGTCAATAAAATGACCTGTTTGGGAAACAGTGAGGTACTCTAAAATAGCTGCCAGTCTGGTACACTGAAGAAGATGTCATGCACTAAAAGAGCCATAGATATAAGGGGGGAATCAATATGACACTCTGGATATTAGAAGAGAAGTGCTTACTCAAGGGGTAGCTTGTATTTGCATCCCAATGTTTCTAGAACTCATTTTCTAAACCTATATTAATTACACATCTATGTACATTATTTAGAAGTTCTTTACTACAGTACTTTTGTACATGCTTTGTTTATTACTAAATGTAAAGAGAAAGTAATTACATAAGGCATATGTACAGTATCATGTTGGGGCGCAGATCCCTCTGCTCACCATCCTCTTAAAGCTGCAAGGCCCGTTTTACAAAGGCTTGTCATCCAGTTTGCAAAGCTGTCCTGAAATGCATAAAAAAAGCCTGGAGCCAAGGCCCATTGCTTTGATGAGCATCAATTAGTCCTTCCTTTTTATTTACCTTGTTTATACTCTGATGGGTTTTTTTTGTTACTTTGAGGAAACCTGGAGGTCTGAACTCAGAGAAGTGCAGAGGAAGCCAGCAGTCGTTACCAGGGTGGGGATGGAGATTCCAGTGTATGTAATGGGTATTGCAGCTTTAACCTACATCTTAACTTAGTCTGTGAAACTCTTGAGTTTGAACTGGGCAGGTAGATATTTCACATCTGAACTATTTATTTTCCCAGAATTAATAATGACAAAAAAGAAAAATAAAAACGTGGAAGAAATAAAAGGGGAACATAAAGGGAAAAGATAAGGAAGGTCATGTGGCCCTTACACCTCTGGTTCTACACTTTGGACTCGTTCTCTAGGTTTGCCACATCACCATTTCTTTCATTTTGGTCTTCTTGATTCTTCTCTTCCTCTTCAGTTTCCAGCTCAGCATGCTGGTCCAGCTTGCTGGAAACAGACCAAGTCAGGGGCAGTTCTGCTCGGCTGGCCATCTCTGCCAGCTCTTTGGCACTGTAAACTGGGGTGTTGGTCTCATATGTTTCATGAAAACTATTGTAGTCAACTTCATAAAATCCATCCTCCAGAGTGAGGACAGGGGTGAAACGATAACCCCACAGGATCTCACTTGTAACATATGAACTTCGAGCTTGGCATGTCATTCCTGTAACAGAGAAGGAAGAAGTGCTGTTATAACGACCCACTACTTTCCCAAAACCTTAATTATTTTTTCAAATAGGCAGAGAAGTGTATGTAAAATGACACATGCCAGAAAAGCATTAGGCTAGACATCATATGAGGTTGAGCTTAGAAAGTAATTTTTATGGTGTGTAGCCTTCTTCTATGTGCATGTATAATAGCATGCAGTACATCTGTGACCAAAGTCTTAACATTTTTTATTAAATGCAGTTCTTCTTCCTGTATTTAATCAGTGAATGACTCGCCCACTGCTGAATCTCAGACTGCTTGTTGAGAATGTGTATGGCTTCCTTTTGTCATCCTTTTGTTCCCTGACAGGTGACTTGTGTAACAAACCCACACCACCACACTCAGCAGTTGCCAAGGCTGAGGAGCTTCTGGAAAAACTTTTCTCTGTTGGAGCTAAGTCCTGATCCTGTGATCCACAGGTTGACTTGGTTTCCCGAGGGGTTGGAGCAACCTTTTAATTACGTTGCTTTGACATTTGGGCTGGTGGTCAATGTACAAACATCAGCAAAATTCCTGGGGGACATTGTAATAGCATGTGGGGTTGAATTTAGATTAGTGGGGCTATCTTCTTTGTTACCTTCCTATCACAGCTCTGCTGAACATCACTCTGGCAGCTGCTGTAGTGCAACAGATTGGTAAGGTACTAGATTGCATTAAGAGACATGAAGATAGGCAGCTATTCTGAGTTCAAGGTCTAATTCAGGGTGTCTTTTGGCTGAAAAAAAATCTGGACGTGGTGGGGAGCTATAACTTGGAGAGCATGTCCCATCTGAAGCAGACAACTCAGGAAAGCACAACAATAAAATATTGTTGCTCAGTAATGGAGGAGGAAGCTCAGCTGACTGGGAAGAAAGGTCAGGAGAAAGGAATTCATGAAGCAAATGCATATTCTCAACAAAATGTGTTTACATAGGGAGGATGTGATGGCTTTCCTTTAATTATGTACATTATTAGCTATGTATTCCTAAGAAAACCTCAGTTAAGTACTGTATGTCAAATACTTATTAAATACTGATATATAACCTCTGGATAAGTCTCCCACACACCACGTATTTAGAAGGTAAACAACAAAATCTTTCATTTTGTGGGTACAAATGACATTCTGTATAAATGAATGTTATTTCTCTACCAACTTCAAACAAGGAGAGTTTCAGGAAGAACAAACGTAGGTAGCTTAATGTTTGGTCTTTTTCAGGACTGTACTGATGGCTCTTGGTAATTCTTCCCTCATCCTCTAGAACCATTTCTTCAAACTCAGGTAACTCATTTCTGACAGGTGAAAGCTGCTGTTCTCAGTATTCAAACTTTTGCATTTATACCATTATGTTTACAATATTATTTGCTGGCTTTTCCCACACTGTGGTACTTCTCCAGAACTTCTCTCCACATTGCAGACACTCAGGAGTGGTGACTAAAGCTTTAGCATGAAATCCGCCTCACTTTTACTACTTGCTAGAAAAGTGAACATACTTCTGCTATGCTTACCAATCTTAACTTCTCTTTCCCTGACTGGACTACTCAGGCCTTTGTTTTTCTTGGTTTTGCAGCACAGGTCATGTTTGCATTTCACTTCTCAAATAACGCACAAACAGAAATATAAAGGTCTTACCGTTTTACTGTTCATTTCACAGGTGTGTAGGAAGGAAGGACACTGGATGCCGTATGACAGAATTACGCATAGCGAGATTTCCTGTACGATTTTTAGTCTAAAGGAGATCATCTTCCACACAAAATGACAGAGGAACTTGACAGCTCACAGAGCACTATACAAGACACAAATGCACTAGATGTGCAGCACCTTCCCAAAGCACCATTTCCTTAACTAGAATTGTTAAGGTTGGAAAAGACCTCTAAGGTCATCTAGTCCAACCATCAACCCATCAACCCATCGTTACTATGCCCACTAATAATGTCTCTGTGCAGAATTCTGGAATGGATGCAGTGTTTGATAGGACCTCCCTGCCTCGGAGATGGTGGCATCACCAGACTGGAGGCGGAGAGGGCTGGGAGCAGCCAGCACTGATGTATTCCTTCTGTCTCAGATCCATCTCTGGTCTAGCTTCCCACCAGATCCTTTGGCATGATGAGACTATTTACACCTGGATGGGTTGTTCTGAAGCAATGTGTCATTCCTGACATTCATGTGTTTCTAATTCCTTTTCTGGAGAAATTTAACTTTAAAATGAGCACAAAATCTGGAGTTTTCATTAAAAAGGCAATAAGATTAAATTAAAAAATACCGAAGTGCCTTCAAAACAGTATTACCTTCCTGCATTCTAACCAAGTACACACTGTTCCTGCTGTTTTGCTTAGGAAACATTAATTTGACCACTGAAGAAGAAGGGAGCAATTTTCTGCAGAAGTCAAGAAGATTAATCAAAATATGCTTGAGTTACAGTTCATTAAAATCTAGCTGAATTTGAAATTTTGATCCAGCTCTGCATTTTAATTTAGTCTCCCATTCCCACAGTGATTTAATACCTGTTCATTTTCCATAGCTAGACAAAATAATTTCAGAGCTGGAATGAAAAAATCAGGACTTTTGAAGCAAGCAAGTTCAAATCAAGAAAAAGACAAAATCAATCAACGGCTGCATGCATGTGAAAGTCTTTAAAAGCTTATATTGCTATTACAAAAAAAGTTTCTAAGTGGACTACAGTGATTCCAGAACAAAATGTCCCACAGTTGCAGAGACCCTTGAAGTAATTGCCAGTGAATCTGCATGCATCTGGAGGCAGAACAAAGATCTTTCTGAAAGGCTACATTGCATGGGTTTACCAGCTTGTGTCTATGCTGGCACAGGGTTCCTTAAACTTGCTCCTTTATCATATACTATCTAATACACACATTTTCATTTTATGTCATCATTTTAAACTTTGCTAAAAAAGAAATGTGAGTCTTATGATTCGCTCTAAATTCTGAAGTTTGTGGATGAGGCAACATCTTGCTTGAGGGTGTTTTAAGACTTTAGGCTTACAAGTACTGCGTGGTTTATTCGGTAAGCATGTGGTTTATGTGTAGCCAGAGATCTGGTGTACAATGGCTTTAAAAATAACTGTGATTTGACATTTTGACTACTGTTTCACTTCAACTGGATCCCTTCCGGGAAGACGAAAACTGGATGTGGAGACTCTGGAGCTTCTTAGCTCAGCATTAATTGGACTTCTTCAAAATCAGCACGAAAATTAGGAGATCCAAATAATTCATTTTAGATTAATTAAAACTCTAACTGGGAGGAGTGGTCTGTTCAAGCAGGAGCATTGCAAACCAGTGAAGACCTTGAGACCGGATGCTCAGGCCCTGCTAAGTCCCCATGTCTGAGGGGTGTCAAGTGAAGCCAGGGTGTCTGATGGTGACCGAAGGACAATCTTGGCTTCATGGGGCAGCTGCCAGCCCCTGCAAATCCTTATGAGGCAGCTCCACGGCCTCCTGCTCCATCTGTCTCTGTTCCCTGGCATGGTAGAAATGCAGAAGCAGGATTAGGTTGCACTGCTGTGGGCTTTATCTTGCACCTGTTCATCTAGCTGCACACTGGACTTTCAACACTCTTTGAGCTGATAAGACCTCTGATGGTTCCCCTTGGCTGTCTCACTCCTCTAAACTCAAATAATTGGCCCTTGTATATGTTGAAACTTTCTCTCAGGTCTTAATAGCAGTGTTTTGGTCCATTTATTTAATGTTTACACAGGCTGCAGCATCATAACTGAGTGTTGTCAGGCAAATTACCTCTGAAGTAAAATTAATAGCCATATTACATTATTATGATGATTATTATTAAATTATGCTTAATGTGCAGTTAGAACCTGGTGAGCTGTAGACACAGTCATAAAAACTGTCATTTTCTTCTGAAAGAATTGCACTGTTGTGGATACCATTCCCATGCTCTCTTATCCCATTTCATGGGTCAGAACTATGCAGAGTGTCACAACTGAAGTTTGGTCCTTTTTACATTATGATGTAAAATTATGGGTTTTAGTGAAGGAGGTTTTTTTTTTTTTTTTCTTTTTTTTTTTTTTTCTTTTTTAAGTATACAAGCTAACACTGCAGCATTTTCACAGTTTTGCTTTAACAGGAACAAAAAGATCCTGCTGACAGTGCTGGGATTAGTTCCACATATCTGAAATCAAACATTAGTTACTATTTTGGATAATCCCATTACCATACAGCCAATTCACCTAGCATTTCATTTATTCCCTAAATGCTTATTATTCTTATTCATCAGGTGAGGAGCTGAACAGCACGAAACCTAGAGCTGCACTGCAAAGTGAAGAGTATCTTGTGATCCAAAGGCAGTTGACACAGCTGTGGCCATAAGGTATCTGTGCCAGGGTGAGGATGCTCTGTATTTATTATAGACTCATGGAATCATGGAATGGTTTGGATTGGAAGGGACCTTTAAGATCATCCATTTGCAATCCCTTGCTACAGGCAGGGACACCTCCCTCTAGACCAGGTTGCTCAGAGCCCACCCAGTCTGGCCTCCTGGCCTTGAGTTCTTTCAGAGAGGGGGCATTAATGAGTAAGGCTGTAAAGGGCTTGCTCACATCCATAGCATTACATCCAGGCAGCCTGGACAAGAAGTTGGGACTGTGTTCTGGCATCTGACAGATGTTCCTCTCCAGACAACCTAGGAGAGAAGGCTGAGGTAGATACTTTTTCTCCGAGGTCAGGCTCTGTTACGGGCTGCCCAAGGAGGGGTGGAGTTGCTGTCCCTGAAAGTGTTCAAGAAACATTTAAATGTTGTACTGATGGATGTGGTTTAGTGGGAAACATTGGATAGGTGGATGGTTGGATTGGATGATCTTAGTGGTCTTTTCCAACCTTGGTGATTCCATGATTCTATGGACCGGCTCAGTTTCTGTGCATCCCATCAGTAATTTTTCTTGCAGCTAGAATGTGAGGATTTATAAAGCTTATTATTTGCAAGTGCAGTCTACGAAAATGACAAAATAATTC